ACAACTCCGCCGCTGCCGGAGAGCTGCAGGGCGGCGAGCTCCGCGAGGATTGCGTCGAGGGCGCTCTGGAGCGTGGTCTCGCTGGCTGAGAGCGCGGCGTTCGTGGCGTACGAGGCGTCGGCCTTGGCCCCTGGAGCGCCGTGATGCTGGCGTCACGGCTAGCAAGCTGCGCTGCGACGAAGGCCTTGGTGGCGAGACCCAGCAGGGCATTTGCTATCTTGGTGTCCACCTCCAGTGGCGTGTCCAGCCCGTCCACCGTGGAGAGCAGGGCGGCCAGCGTGCTGGCGTCCGCCTTGCCGAGGAGGGCGGCGTCCAGGGCTGCCGTGGTGACTGCGCCCAGGAGGGCCGCCGATATCTTAGAGTCCACCTCCGAGGAAGTGTCGACGGCCGACAGCGGGGCGTACGCGGTCAGCGCGCTGGCGTCCGCCTTGGAGGCCTGCAGGCCCGAGATGGAGGCGTCTCGGCTCGCGAGCTCGGAGGCCAGCGCTGCGGCGGTGTCGGCTCCCAGGAGAGCGTTGGCCACCTTGGTGTCGACCTCCAGCGGCGTGATCCTCGCCGCTATGTCTAGGGAGTGCTGGTCCACCACCGTCTTGAGGCCGTAGTTGGCCGCCGCCGTGGCCAGCGTGGCGTTGTTGGCCGAGGCGATGGAGCCGTTCATGGCCGCCGTGGTGCTGTAGTTAGACAGCTTCAGGTCCACGCCGTCCGGGGTGCTCTTAGTGGCCACCACGCCCTCCAGCACGTCGAAGGCCGATTGGTCTGCCTTGGTGGAGAGACCCGTGGTCAGCGAGCTCTGCAGCGCTGCGATGCTGCTTCCGTGCGCGGCCACCTGTCCGTCCGTGGTGGCCAGGGCTGCTGCCGTGGCCAGGGGCGCACTTGCCGGCGCCAGCGCGCTGCTGTCCAGCTTTGACGCCAGCTCTGCGGTGACCCGGTCGTCCAGCGACTGGATGGCGGCTGCGTTGTTGCCGGAGGCTGCCGTGTTCACGGCTAGGTCTGCCACTTGTGCGTAGGGCGTCAGAGCAAGGGCCTGCGGTGACGTGCGTGCCGTCAGTTACCTCTCCGTTGTCCAGGACCTCCGGGATATTGCCGGTGACAGGTCCTTCAAACATGTTTACATATGTTTTCGCCGACGCCTTAGTCCAGTGTGGAGGGACCGCTGCGGGGACGGGGAGGTGCGCAGGACGCTTCAAAGAAATATGCCCGCGCTGCTGGAGCTCTTCAAGGGCACCGGATCAATTGGAAGGGCCTTCGAGGCCAGGGGCTGGGAGGCGGTCAGCTTGGACATCCTGCCCAAATTCACACCCACCATCTGCTGCGACATTCTGCGCTGGGACTACCGCGCCGCCTTCCCGCCCGGGCGCTTCGACTTGGTGTGGGCGTCACCCGTTTGCGCCGAATACTCCCAGGCGCTCACCACAAGGCCCCGCAGGCTCCACGAGGGGGATGCGCTGGTGCTTCGGGCCATCGAGATCATCGCCTACCTCGCGCCGCGACTCTGGGCCATCGAGTACCCGCAGACGGGACTGCTCAAGACAAGGCCCTTTATGCAGCGCCTCGGATTCGTCGACGCCACATACTGCTTGTACGGTACACCCTTTAAGAAGCAGACACGCTTCTGGACGAACATGCGCTGGGCGCCCAGCTGCGGACTCTGCGGGCCCGGCAACCGCTGCGAGGCCTGGGAGAACGGCAGGCACGCACGCGCCGCACCAAGGGGTCCCCGGAAAATCGGCCAGCGCTACGAGAACGTTCGCAGGCAGTCCCGTGAGCTGCTGTACAGCATTCCAGCGGCGCTCTGTGACGAGATTGCAGCGGCAAGCGAGACTTAACCGGAAGCCGGCCCGGCCCCGGAGGAGCACGGAAAGCACGCGGAAGACTGCCTGCCAGGGATGGAAGCATTTAGATTTTTATATAAAAAAAATCCAAGGTCCGGCCCAGAGACCGGCGCAGAAAGCACGCGGAGACTGCTTACCAGAGATGCCGGCAGAGGAAGGAATGGTATGCACAAGGGTTGCCTCCTCCAACAATGTTGCAGTTACGGACCCAGCAAAGCAGGAATTCACGCAGGCGTGCAGAAGTGAGGCTACAAGGCAAATTGCAAGCAAATCGAGGGTGCGTTACGTTGCAGCGCCGTGGCTGCAGGAGCAATTCTGGACTTGAAATTCTTCGCAGGACAAGGTCGTTTCCTGAGCGGACGAACTCTGCTGGGTCTGTAGCTGCAATATTGTGGCAGTTGGAAATCCTTGTGTATAGAGAGAGCCCTGCCCACTTGGTGCCACAGAAAAGCTTCAGGAGTCTTGGCATTTTTAAAGAGCCGACGACCAAGAAAACTCGCGCGTTCATCGGACCGGACTTTTTTCCTATGCATAAAAAAGAGCCCAACTTCACAACCACTTGGGCAAGACAATGCCAAGGTGGTTCGGGCCAGCCCCTTCGACCTCGTGATGGAGTTTCTCGTGGGGCCCCCGCCGTTGGGGCCCGCTCCCACACTGCCGCTGCGGCTGAGCCGATGCT